CTTATCTTAAATATGAAGCGTTAATTTTCGTATCTCTCCTGTACCACAGCCTGTGAAAAGCCCTGTGACAATATGTGGCGATATTCACGGGCAGTTTCATGATCTTGCTGAACTATTTCGAATTGGAGGGAAGGTATCATTTCTGACCATGACTTTATTGTTGTATCTAATTCTTCTGTTTCAGCTGGGGAATGTCTTAACTAACTAATTGTGACCTGCCAAAGAAAAAGCTTTTGAAGCTTGAAGTGCATCAGAGGTATTGTGAACTAAATTGCAAGATCAGGAAGTACTCATTAAACTCACTGTAACCTTAATATTATCATGCTACAGCTCCTACACTATTTAGGTTTTGCAAAATGATTCGTATGGTATGACTTTTACCTTTTAGCCATTGCTTAAAATTTTAATGGTTTTATTGTGAAAAACTCCTTCATGAAGCTTACATCTGAATTCTGAGAAAATCTTGTTTTATTTGACAGTGTCCAGATACTAACTACTTGTTTATGGGAGATTATGTGGACCGGGGTTATTATTCAGTTGAAACTGTAACAGTAAGTACTACCAATATAAATTCATCTGATTTTTTTCCCTAGTTTAATTCCCCCCTATTTTGTGTGCATTTTGATAATTTTGTTACTTAGTTCATGTTCAGAATGAAAAAAGGTTCAGGCTGAGGTTTTTTTTCCCCTTAAAGAGGTAGTTTATTAAGTGTGAGTGTGAGCGTCATTCAAATTGTCTTTTACTAAGAGGATAAAACAAGAAATTGGACTCTCCACAATAGGTTGATGATGATACCTTATCTTATAGGTTTCTAGAACTCATTCATATGTAAATAAAGGAACAGTTGTTCACCAATAAATAAACTGTTTAGTTTATATTAAAATCTTCATCATTATTATTGACTTTTCTGTTTGTTCGCATTTGGAAGGCCTATCGAGCTTAAAGGATTGCTAGATTTTAGAAATCATCTTATAATTATGTTAATAGAGATAGAAACGTGTCAAATCCTTGAATGACATCTTTGTTTTGGTCATTTTTGGAACAGTGAATGGTGGTGAAGTGCATGGATTTTTATTACTTTTTTATTTCACTTTTGATTGAAGTAAGTATATGTTAGAGGAAAGATACTACAAGCTAATTAGTTATTTTATCCAGCTTCTTGTGGCACTAAAAGTGAGGTATCCCCAGCGGATAACTATTCTTCGTGGGAACCATGAAAGTCGCCAGGTGTGTTTTTATAATTTTCTTTCATTTAAAATAATATTTTCTTATTGTAAGTATATATTATTACACTTTTCCTCAGGTTTCTTTTGGTATTTATTCCTGTAGTTCTTAGTGATTTTATTCTCGAGTGGTGTAATCAATAGCTAGTTTTAGAAAATTATATTGGCTTTGATTTGCAGATTTATGTAATAGTTATTTAACTTTTGCTCCATCTTTAATTATTTGTGCAGATCACTCAAGTATATGGATTTTATGATGAATGCCTAAGGAAGTGAGTTTTCAATACCTTTTATTTACCGGTCCTAGAACAAGAAAGTTCTGCATGTTCATAAATTGTAATTGTTTCTACAAACTTTTGTTTGTTAATTACTAATGCGCAGTTTATTTATTTATTTTACTTGTGGTTTAGTGAGAAAATTTTCTTTTCAGATTTGATGAACTATTTGATTTTTTAAATAAAATAACGTAATTTCCCCCTATTGTATTGTACATTTGTAGAATTTCAGTATTAGGTTTTGGTTGGCTATTTTCTCGCCACTTACATTTACTAAAGTTCAGGTCTTTGGTGAGCATCTGAATCATGCTGTTGAATTGAGGCTTAGAAGTTAGAAATCATTTTGATTTTGAGATGCTCGTTTTTGAGAGTTTCATATTTTTGATGTTGATGTATTGATGGATATCTGACATTTTCACATGATTGTGGCAATGTGATAGTCATGGAAGTTGTGCTGACCCTTGAAAAAAAAAAAGAGGATCTTTGTGATTAGTTAAAATAGTTAAAGAGCATGGAAATATATTCATACAGAAATGCCGGTTTACAATGAAGCAGAAAGAGGAGAAAATCAGGGTATGTGTTTGGATTGGTTACGGTAGACGTAGCACCTTGACACTGTCTTTGGGGTGCCTGTTCTGTTGGAATTTGGGGAATCCTTTGCAAATTCTAGTAGATTATACTGTCAAAAGTAATGGTTTGTACGGTTTTGATTAGTGAACTTCCTTAGCTGTGTATGCTATGGTGGATTTGATGCGAGGTTGCATGATCTGATGTTATGATGCAAATTACATTGATGGTGTCTGATGTTTTTAGAAAAAAATCTGACCCTGGATTCAGATCAGTTGTGCTTCATGAAGGCACTTCAGATTTGAGATTTAGGATTTTGTTAGTGTTGCTCACGCTCGCATGCGTAAACTGAAACCTTATTTTAATTAATACTACACGTAGTTGGATATGGACATAGATGCGATTTAGTTTGCAGTGGATGATTCAACTCTAAATTCGTCCAGTTCCATGAGTTTTCTTTTTCTTTCCTTTTCTTTTCTTTTTCCCGTTTTTTTTTTTGGGGGGGGGGGTCCTGATATACAACATGGGACTAGTGCCCTAAACTATTTGAAATTCACCGACCCTTCTATGCAGGGGGGTAATTCCTCATGAATAGGAAATTGAGCGATTGCAGTTGCATGGGTTTCTGGATTAGTTGATCTGAGCTGTTCTTATTGTTGATTGGTTTTGATTCCTGCGCATAAGCAATGCAATTTCTTTCTAGTCCATGTAATACTTTTGATTATCTATTTGCAGGTATGGTAATGCTAATGTTTGGAAGATCTTCACAGACCTTTTTGATTACTTTCCATTGACTGCATTGGTAAGTACTTCGTACATAGTACATACTTTTTGTTTTCGATTTTATGTTGAAGGGATTATATTTGTGGAAAACATATTAAATTGATTTTAACTGAACGGGGAAGGGAAGAGGTTCGTGGGGCAAATTACATATCAAGGTTAAGTGGAAATGTGAAATACTCTTTCTGGTGTTTATTGTAGGACACTTTCAACTGTTTCATGCATCTTGAGAAAATTTTTTTTTCTTGATATCGTAAGAAAGAGACGTACTTTCATTTTTACTATTGGTTTTAAATCATGATATAACTGTATTAAATATCTTTATATTAATCTAGAAAGAGTAAAATTGAAAAAAGTGGTTTAACTATTACAAGGTATCGTACACTTTGGACTAAAAGGAGTAGTGATTAGTTTTAATTGTGGCCTCTGGTTTGTATGAGCATTAAAAAGGTAATAATTTATTTCTAGATATAAGCTCTCTGTCTTTTGAAGGAAACTTGTACATTTCAAACTTTTATTTTTTGGGAGGAGAAACAAAGATTATATCTACAGAAAAAAGATTAAAACACAATACTAGAGTTTGTAATCCATGGCGAAAAAGTAAAAAGTAAAGTAAATAGAGTAATCAGAAGTGTGCATTTCAAACCTGATGCACTCGTAACTTCACTGAACCTGAGGGCTTGTAATATAATTTACCCATGTTTTTGTGTTAAAATTTTCATGTGCTTAGTTCAAATGAAGCCGTCTTTATAGTGATGCTTACTTGAGATGTTAGATTGATTGGCAAACAACCTTATGGTCGCCACAAAAGCTGGACGGGAAATTGGTAGCTAGTGTTGAGTTTTTGGTCTAAAAGCATTCAACTTCTAATTTAAAACTCTTCCAGGTTGAGTCAGAGATATTTTGTCTGCATGGTGGACTATCTCCTTCCATTGAGACTCTTGATAATGTGAGGAACTTCGATCGTGTTCAGGAGGTTCCTCATGAAGGGCCCATGTGTGATCTATTATGGTCCGACCCAGATGACAGATGTGGTTGGGGAATTTCTCCTCGCGGTGCAGGATATACTTTTGGCCAGGTAAACTTGAATTTAATTTCTGAATCCTGCCCTCTGTTGAATTTTTATCAGTTATTTACTTAAACTCACTGTCTCTCAGGACATATCTGAGCAATTCAATCACACAAACAACCTTAAGTTGATCGCTAGAGCTCATCAGCTGGTTATGGATGGATTTAACTGGGCTCACGTAATGTCCTCCTCATGTTTCCTGCTTTAAACTTAAGAGGGTATAGTTGTGGATATTTACTGTTTTGTTGAAACAGGAACAAAAGGTGGTTACCATCTTTAGTGCCCCTAATTACTGTTATCGATGCGGGAACATGGCTTCCATTTTGGAAGTTGATGATTGCAAGGACCACACTTTCATCCAGGTCTCTCATATTCACCATAATTTGCTCTTCTAACTGGTGAAGATATTGTTTGTTTGTCCTTTGCCTTGTATTGTCCATGCCTAAATTTGAAGAGAATGTTGCAGTTTGAACCTGCTCCTAGGAGGGGAGAGCCAGATGTTACCCGTAGAACACCTGATTACTTCCTTTAATTTAGCTGCTCAATCATGCTGATATCATGGTTAAGCCTACTTCTGCCTCGGGTATCTGGTAGTTGCGCATCCGTGTCTGAGATTTCTGAGCATTTAAAGCCATGGCGGATACAAGACTTCCGATGCTTTAATGGTGTGGATATCGCTTTGATGTATTATACAGGCAGGTAACATTCGACTGATTTGTTCCGCACAAGAACTTGGTGGACGTCTTGTTAAAGTTGCATAGATTGATGGCTTTATCAGGATATGTATCATTCAAAGTGTTGATATTTAGACTTTTCCCCTCATTTATTCTCAATTTCTCATGTTTCACGCCCTTTAGCAGGCAACAATGAATGTGTTTTTTTTCCCCTCAAAATATCCTATGGATGCCTTGCAATATTCTTGATTCAATTTTATTAGCGCTCACACTTTGGAAGAGTTGTAATACATTTATGAAAGTCAAATTGTAGTCACTAAACTGGTACCATTTAGGAAAGTGATGTTTTGCCGATTGTTGACGACGCACACGGTAATTGAGCTAATATTAAAACCAAGTCACTCTTGAAATGTGAAAAAATGGAATCATCTATTATTTTAGAACTAATTTTACGTAGACGATCATTTTGCAATGAGTGGTTGAAATGCGCTAAAAGCAAATCTTCGCTCACAAGTTCAGGTATGAAAAAAGCGACGGCACAAGGTCAACCACAGACCATGCAAGACCAGCATATTGAAGAAATCTAATTCCGGTATCAATATCAAATACCTGGTACCGGGAAAGCAGCTTTTGCAAGTAAGCCTGTTTGAGCTTGTCAGACTTCTTTCCCTGGAAAGATCCTTTCAATGTTGGGATATAACTCGTTGATTTTATTGGGATGCCCAAGGTGTTTGATACCACAGGAAGAGTCCATTTTGCAAGAGCCTTGCTACAGAATTTCACGATCAGGATTGTTGGTATTCCGACAAGCATTCTTCCTATAAATCCAGGTATCGTGATTGCGAGTTCAGGAGAGAACACACGAGGTACATATTCATGGTGAAATTGATGGTATGTCTGCTGTACTCCTGCGACCTGCACCGCATATTGAGATTTATAAATGCAGATTACTATGCACCATATACCAAATACCTCTACCTTCAGCAGAGGCCGATTATACATAACACAATATAGGACTGGGGCAATGAAACAATGTTCAGATAAGCACACATTACAAAATTCTAAGGCAATAGAATCGGTCCCTGGATTTGGAAACAGGAGAGCAGTTATTTGAGAAACCAGTAGCTGAATAAAGCTCTTCATCCAAGACAAAAACCTTTTGGAATCCATAATTTTAACGAAAGTTACTATGCATCGAACTTGTGATAGTGTATGGTGTTAAATGCATTGCTCCTACATTACAGACTTTGCCTGGCTTTTAACCGCGGCATCTCCAGCTATGGACTTTAAGGAGAGTTCCATAGTTAATCTCATACATCAATATGCCTGTGATCTTGGTTATTGGATAAATATATATTCAACATTCTCACCTTCGACATCAATTTTAATGTATTTATTTCTGCAGTTTGATAATCCATTACTCTTAAGCATGAACAAGAGCACCCACATGAAGTTGCTTATAACAAGGATCTTCACATTGTGTTTCTTCATGCTATAAAAGAAGCTGCATTGTTCATAAATCATGGACAGTGACTCATTTTGAACCCTCTGAATACAGAGAGGCCACTTAAATTATATGAAAAATTGATAAATCTTATGTAATTATGTGTTAGGTCGAGCAAAGGGGACTCAGTACGCTTTGGACAAGGTTTTAAATTTGAATTGAACTTTGAAGATGGAAACAGTCACGTTGTCACAGGTACCTCTATTTGGACAGACAAATCTGACTCGTTAGTGCGGATATTAGATTAATCTTACCAAAGGAGAAGGATGATGAAACAAGATGCTCAAATAATGCCAAATGATGGACAAGTACTCACAATTCCCAATGCAACACCGTTGAATGCAGTATGAAACTCAAAGCTTGGAGTTGGAAGTTCGGGAGTTGGGTAAGCAAAGAGCAAGAGTATGCTCAATGCAATCCAGAATGACGTGACTGCAACAAAAATGGATGATTATTGATCACAAGATAGAATATCAAGATAGTTTCCCAAAAAAACTATATTCTCAGTCAAAATGAGCTCTTCAAGACTACATATTTTACAATGAAAATTACAAAAAAAAAAAAAACTAATAAATAAATTGATTTCCACCATATGTTGCAACAGTTAAAGTTCCATTATGCTCAACATATTATAAACTAAGGATACCATTTCGTCCGGAGATCAGAAAACTGTCTAGGTATTCATCAATGTGAAGCCAAAATGCAAGGGTTCCAAGTCCAATAAGAAGACCACCAATGACATCGACCAAACTGTGCATGCCAAGATAAATTCTTCCTGCAAGAGAGACCAGATATTTGTCACACTTCTACTGTCCATTAATCCAACAGAAGGAAATTGCTCACGACGTAAAAGCAAGATACACTTACCCAAACCAATGAAAGCCACGAGTAAGCTGGCAAAGAAAATTCCCAGGACAATGACATAAGCACCTTGAATTTGAGTATGAGTCAGGACATAATGCACAATGTAGCTGTAAAAAATGTTTTCAGGGAGAAACAATCATTATTGACAAGAGTGCAGGGAAAAACTCTGAAACTGCTCGAGAGAATCATATGCCTTCTTAATTATCAACCATATTGTATTGACTTTAGGTCCTAAACAAAGGAATATTCAATAATTTGTGCAATGTATCTAGAAACCTTAACCCCCACCCCCACCCCCCAATTTTTTTTTTTTTTGAAGTTTAAACCTCGGCCATTACAGACAATTGATAGAAAATATAATGCATTAAATTTTACTTTTTCATGAGTTAAACCTGTGTGAAACTTGATTAAGCATGTCAATTTACTCAATCTGGAGCCATGGATGTAGTCTCAACGGCACACGTGACACATTGACAACTTTAAAATAATACCACATAAATTATAAAACTTGCCATAAAAACAAACAAGGAAAAATACCCAGAGAAGCAGACTGTATTAAGCGTGTGAGATGAAGGCAGGCCATATTCTAACGCATTGTCTTCCTCATCTTTTGTAGCTGTTAGTCTCCGAACAGGCGGAGAAGCAGGCCTTGGCGCTGATACCACATCCTATTGAACAATAGATACCGAAGGCAGGTAAGCACCTTTATAATACGAAAAAAATACAGACGAAGTGTAGTCTGATTTAGGGGAGATAGTACGTACGTACATACCTTTACACAATTGCCTACATAATCACAAAACGCGATCAGCAACGTCAGTTGCCTTGCCAATTTGCTATGTCCACTCTACACAGGCATGGAAACCTACCACACATGAATTCTCGAGACTCTCTTTTCAACCAAAAAAGAAAATCACATTTACCAGTCAAATGAAACGCAGTCTAGAGCTCTACTGAAGCCACAGAAAAGACACCCTTACCCAAAATACCAGAGGAAGAAAAGCTGTGTAAAAGGAAACAGAAACAACGCAAGACAATCCACAGAAAAAAGCATCCAGAATTCCAAGCCTGTAACTCTGCAAAATCCCGCCAAATAAGAAACCGCAAAAATTACCGAAGCAATTCGTCATTATCGACGTTCAAAAAAGATAGAATGTTTCCAGAATAAGAATCCGAGTTTTTTGTTTGTTCAACTCTTTTCTTTTCTTTTCTTTTCTTTTGCTTTTTATAATCATAACTTGTTGCCTACCTGGATCTGAAGGACAATGGAGGTTCCAGACACGACGTGGTCAATTACCCAGGGTTGAAGAAAAGATCTAAGCCTGCAAGTCACGTTGAGGTATGACGACGATACAATCCAGAAGAATAATCCCCCGAGAGCTGCTCCTTGCCACACTGCCGCCGAACCCTCCATCATTCTCTCTCTCCCCGCTTTGGAACGTTAGAACCGAACAAAGAGCAGTGAGTCAAAAAAAAAAAAAACAAAGAAAGAAAGAAAAGAAAGACGAAGAAAAGAAATAAATTACAACCAGAAAGCCGATGGAAGATTGGGACTTGCAGGGCTTGATACTGGCAAGGATCCCCTCAAGGCAAAAATAGCGAGTTTTAATTTAAACAAAGATATTTTTCTATTCTATAAATAATTTATTATAATCGTCAGTAAAAGGATTTTGGTGTGGGTCCTCAGATTCGTCGTCGTTGGGTTTTGCTGGCAGAGATTGTGGTGGCAAAAAGCCTGGACAACCTTTTTTTCCACGCCTCTTGAATAGTGATTCCACATGAAAACGAAAAATAACGACACTATTCTTCTCATAGGCTCAAGCAAATTGTAGTTGAAGGAAGTTGTATTCCTTAAAAAGTTGAGTTGTTTTATCAATAAGCAGTCACTATGTAATATAAAATTCATGTTTTTTCATTTTTTTTCTTAAATGTTTTTATATAAAATTCAAATGTTTTAAATATAATCGCGTTATGAACAGCTCATGGCGTGGAAAGCCGCATTTATGATTTTTGTACGAGAAGTGGCCTCATGAGAGCAACTTATCAGGTCGCACATTAATTGGCCGAAAAATAATCGGGTCGCACATTAACGCTCCCAGGTCCCAAGCCATGTGAACGAGCTTACAATGACCCTGAAGCTAAGGGTCGTAACTTCTGGGCCCACGCACTTGAACGTCTTCCGACGACTGACCTCTGCGTTATTATTTTTTTTATTTTTAAAAAGAATGATAGTTAGATAACAAAAAAATTAATTAATAATAATTGGATTTCAAAAGAATGAATTAATAATAGTGAGATTTTGGTTATTTTTTTAAAAAATAAATAAAAAATATCAATTTAAATTATTATACATTTAGGAGTTTTAATTATAAATAAACATTTTAATATTAAATATAACTTTTAGATTATATCAGAAAATTTTGTCTGTGACTTTTTAAATTAATATTTATAATTTATTTTGTAAAAAAATTTATTAAAAATTTAAATGTTATTAATTTATTCATTTGGAATTTAATTATCATTCTTCCTTTATTTTATTGATTTATCCTTATTTTTAACAGATTAAATTAATTTTTATTCAAATTCTTTGCTCTGATGTAAAATTGTGAACATGAAATCCAGCAATTCCACCCTCATCAAGATGCGGGCTTATTGAGTACTGTGGTAAGAATAGATACGTCTACAAGATAGCAATTGGCAAGTGAGATATTGCGGGAAGATGCAAACAAAAAAAGAAAAACTCTTGTGAATGTTAACAAAAAAGGAAAAAAGAAGATTAGTTAAAATCCTCCAGTTCGTTTTATGTCAACATCCGGATAATTAACAAATTGCCTTTTCTAGTTGACAAGCGACAGGTTGGCGGGCATACCCGATACTGGGGTGAAAAAAAAAAAAAATGTTTTCAAGTATAATTAAAACTAAGCACTATTTGTGCTTTACACGGATAGTTTAAAATAAGTCATGTATCTCATGTGATGTCTTATAAATTTTATATTATACATAAAACAAATGTAATTAGCTTTTTAAAAAAAAAAAAATCTGATGGCCGGGAAGGGACAATGCAAATAGCATGGGATGACCAATGAGGGGCAGTCACCAGTAGCTTCATAACCAAATTTAAAACAGTTATTATCATTGAGAGGGAGATTTATATCTGGAAAAATATACTTTAATTTTAAATTAAAAATTAGTGATTTAATAGTTATTTTTAAAGTTTTAAAAATTTATAATTATTTATTTATTTTTTGCTGTTATCATTAATAACTAGTATATGTTTTGCATATTGCACCGAGACTTAAAAAATGAGTCGAATTATTTATGTTGGGACAATTTATTATATTTTTCTTATATTATATATATTTATTTAAAATTATTTTTATGAAAAATTGGTGAAAAGGATCAAGTTAAATTCAAGGACCAAATTAAATATTTTATTCATTAAATAATATGAACAAATAACCAAAATGCCTTTTTGTTTAAACAAACAAAATTGGAAAAAAAGAAAGATTGTTTATTCAACACATGCACCAGAAATTAAAAGCCTTACACCTTAAGTTAGAAGCTTTTCACCCCTAGCATTACACTTCAAGCCAGAAACCTTGCATCTAAACTAGAAACCTTGCATTTTAAGCCAGAAGCTAGAAGCCAGAAAAGTAAGTTATAGTTTTTATTATTATAGGTGTAAGACTTTCTAGCTTGTGGTACATGATTTCCAATTTAAGTGTAAGGCTTCTGGCTTTGGTGCATACTTTTGACTTGAAATGCACTTGTTAAACAGACAACTTTTTTTTTCTTTTAATTTTTGTCTGTTTACATAGACGAGTATTTTGATCATTTGTTTATATAATTTAATGAATAAAATATTTAGTTTGATCCTTGAATTTAACGTGATTTTTAGACGTAATTTTTCTTTTAACTAAATCTTTTTTACCAATTTTTTTCTTTTTATATGGAAAAACCATTTTGTTGGTAACTATAGTTTCTCTCAAATTTTAATTTGGTGCCTCCGCCCTTTTTCTCCTTTTATGTCCTCCTTTAACTTTCCTCCATTAAAGATGTTAGCCCTTGTAGTTGGAAAATTGCTTGAGGGTGAACGGAGGAGAAGATGACGTTAAACCAAAAAGCCTAGAAGGGGGAGGGTTCGTGTGCAACTGGAGATAGGGCGATTTTGGATCTTTGTTCATGCAACCGGGCAATTTACAATCACGAGGAAGGCAACTCTACGCTCCCAAGTGTCAACAGGTTCTCTCCCATCCCCTCCCTCATTTTTCTTTCTGTCTCCTTGCTCGCTCATTCAACTTCATTTCATCTTAGCTGACTAGATGCAAGCAGCCCAGAGTGAGACTGGGAGGGTTCAGTCCAGGGAAGCCGATTCGAGGGCTGAGATCGAAGAAGCAAAAGAGAGCCTGGAGAAAGCTCTGTTTCATTGCATCCAGTCACTGAAAGATGAGCCCCAGCGCACTAAGAAAGAATTGCAGGAGGTGAAGGGGAGAAAGTCAAGGTTACTGAAATAAGAGGGATGATCCGGAGACTGAAGACCTCGAGTTCATTGCGAATGCGCTTGCCTAAAGGATGCTATAGACTTGTGTAAGAAAAGATACGTGAAATTCGCGAGTCCTCCTGCTTGTGCTTCACTTACCCATAGAGGCTCCTCCTTCTCCAAACAAGTCTAAAACGAGGCCATCAATGCCTCTCGCTCGATGGCTTTTTGCTAGGAGAAAAAGCCCATTCATAAACTTTACGACTCTCTCATGTCTTTATTGCCTCACATCATTGTGCGTGTCTTTGGGAGGCCTACTCACTTGATCTCTCTTCTTCTTCCAACAAAGATAGTCAACATTTTGTTTTTTGCCTTAACCAATTTTGTATCTTGTTTTGACTCACATTTGCATAGATACTCTGAGTTGACTTTGGCTTAGAGGCTTGTCCTGTAGCAATGGTTAAATGTAAAATGCAATAAAATCTTTGGTTCACAGCTTGTTCACTTAGCTTTGATAACAATGCTACACCAAGAAAAAGGTGTTTATATGTTTATGAAGATGCAAAGCTTTTGATGCATGGTGTCTCTGTTTTTCTGGTACAGGTCCTCAACATTGCAAAGAAGCTTGAGTCAAAGCATGAAGGCCAAGGATGAACAATAAGGAGGAGGAGCGACCATAGTGCGGAGAAGCTTGAACTTGGTTTAACGTCGTTTCTCTGCCGTTCGTCCCTCAAGCAATTTTGCAATCTACAGTGGCTAACACCTTTAACGGAGGAAAGTTGAAGGAGGGAATAAAAAGGAAAAAAAAAGTAAAGGTACCAAATTAAAAATTGAGAGAAATTATGGGCACTAGCAAAATGGTTTTCCCTTTTTATATGTTGTAAAGTTATTAATATAAAATATCCTTGTAATGAATAAGTACTACGAATCTCATACCCTGTCATATTTTTATTGATGTTTTTTTTTTTCGAAATATATTTTTTTCTTGTTCAGAAAAGGGAGGGATCCAACTAGGACCTATTATTACAAATGCAAAGCTAATTAACACCAAGAGCATCGTCTTGTAGGAGCTTCCTCAAGTCGTTTGGTGGGCAAGTTTTTTTCTAAATACATAAATGTATAGATGTAATGATCTAATTTCGCGGCTGAGTTACAACCCAAAGAATCATTGATAACTTCAAAAAATATAAATGATAATGTTAATTACTTTCAAAGATTGAACTTCAAATAATTATTGCTTTATATTAAGTGAAATTTTATTTCATGTTCTAATAAAACTAACTGTTGTGGATTTTTTTTTTCAAAATTTGTTCCTTTTTTTAAGTTTTATTTAAAAGAAATGGATATTGTCATAAAATACTTCGTTTTTATTATTTTTAAAAACTCAAAATATGCTAAGATTTAAGCTGTTTATATCAGCACTGAGAGACATACATAAATAGGCGAAAGGATCAATTCATTATAGTTTGAATTATTGATAAATTACAATATGGATAATATATATAAACTATACTCGTGGCAGGGCCAAATTCCTTAGGTTGAAAGAGAAGAACGTAACTTATTACAGATGGTTGGAGGAGACAGAGTGGTGTTTGTTTAGTTGTCACAAGATTCAAAGAGTCACCAGCCACCCATCCCTCTTCCCCTCATCACATGTCTTCTTAGACCTGGTATGTGCACATTCTTTATGTAATCTTCCCAATCTATACCCTTTACATCAAACCCAAATTCCCTCTTCTCTTCTTCTGACATCATTTCCCTTAATCTCTCAGTATTACTGTTATCAAACCTGCATCACATTAACACTTCTCAGTTAATAACTTATTCCTTAAAACTGTCAATATCTTCGGTTCTTGGATGGTTAGCATGTTTACCTTCCACCATAGAATGTATAGGGCTCATATATGTTGGCCAAATACTTTGCTTGCTCCACTGATTTTCTGCATAGAGTTTCGAGTCTGTGGGGCAGCTTGTCCATGGCTGTGAGGCCACTTTTCTGAATTGCATCTGTCCAGAGGTGAGCAGAGAATTCTTCTGTGGAGCTGAACAACTTCATGAATGGGACTTCAATTGGCCTTCCCTTTGAGTCAATGCAGGGTGAAGAAGTGTAGTGTTGATAGAGCAGTCTTGCCAGATCTTGGAACACCAGAGGGTTCACCACAGATGAGGCAACATGGTACACTTTGATCTCTGGCTTTTGAGCCGTTCCATGCTTTGCCATCGCTGCCATGGTTGCATTAACAACCATGTCTACTGGTACCTATAAATTACTCAGTTTAAGAGAGAAAATGTTAGTGTCAGAACCTTTAATCAAGCTATCAAATGCTTCTGATTTACTTTCCTGGCCTTGCATTATGGTTGATAATAACACTGAACTGTTTGAAAGAATCTGAATGGGAAATGCATGTCACTTACCACATCCAATACTCCATTTGGATCTACTAAGAAACCTGTGAGCTGCCCTTTTCCATAGCATAGAACTATTGGATCCATCATCCTGCAAGTTAAAATGAAGGCTTTTCAGTTCTATCATATGATCTCGAGCAATTATTATCCAAGGGGTGTGGGGTCTTATTGCAGTTTGTTGATTGGTCATAACAAGTTCTTGTTCTTTGTTATAGTGGTGTTGGCATACCTATTTCCTTCCATCCATCCAGGAAATGGCTCTCTGAAAGTGCTCTCTATAACACTAGGTCTAATTATAACAACTGGAAGATCCTCTCTCAGTTTATCCATCATCATCTCTCCCATAGCCTTTGTGAACACGTAAGTATCTTGCCACCCATAGAGTCTTGCCCTGTTTCAAACAATAATTTGACATCAAATCATGAAATTTGACACTACAAAGCTGAAGGACTTTGCATCTATTATCTTTCTTGGAAATCTGAAAGATTGAAAGATAGAGACACTCGATACCTCTCAAGACCCAACTCCTTCATCTTTTGAGCTAACAAGTTCCCTTCAAATTTTCCCCTGTAATATGAAATCAGCTTCATTTCCCCTTCAATGTCCAATATGGGCAAGGCTTCTGTTGGAACTTCAGGTACAAACTTCTCTCTAGCTATACTATCTCCAATGATAAATGGCCTCTCGGTGATTTTACCTTGCCTTTGTCCATTAACATATGCTGCACAATACACACAAGGAACTTAATCAAAACCTGCCTTTGCCAAGAATTGATTCTAGGAACTTTTCACTCAGGTCATATGTATCATCCTTTTTATTCTTTCTACCTGTTGAAACATGCAGAAAGAGCTTAAGGTTCTTGCACTTTTTCGCAAAGCCTGTAAGGCGGCAGGGTCCTCTAGTGTTTATGTTGACAGCAGTGTCATATCTGAGATTTCAAACAACTCAAATAATTACCTGGCAAACTCAAACAAGAAAATGTAGAAACTCTTACAGACTTCGAGGCTAACCTTTCATCAAATGTTGTATTAGCAGCAGAATTTACAATTACATCCACTTCGTCTGCAATAATATCAGACAAATCTTCCTCTAATCCAAGACCGGATTCACAAATATTGCCTACAACAGGAACCAGCTTGCTCAACATGAAGGCTTGGTAGGATTTTCCATGGTTTTGCCTAAGGCTTTTGAAAAGCTCTGTATTTATGATCTAAAATCACAAAGAAAGAAAGAGTAAAATTTCAATCCATGACCAATGAATGAATGAAAACACCAAATTTAACCAATGCATATTGAAGGAGAGTATCACTGAAAGCATACTTCATTCTGCAGTCTCTCCATTGCAGCTTGCTTATTCTTTGCCTTGATCAAAAGGTACATTTTGCCCACATCAGGCTCAGTCCTCAAAATCTTCTCGATAAGAACTGAATGGACCATAAATACATATTAGTCACACACCATTTTTATGAACGAATCATCTAGGAAACCTAACGGTGCATGAAAAGAAAAAGGAGAAATGAAGAACCTTTAGCTAGAAACCCGGTTGCACCAGTAATGAAAAACTTCTTTCCTCTGAGAAACTTGACGATGCCTATTCCATCTTTCAATCCTATGGAAGTGGTGGGTGATGGCCCAGCACAAGGCATCAAATCGTTGACTACAATCTCTGCCTGGCTTTTCCCATTTGGAGACAAGACCAAGCTTCCTGCATCCATTACAGTTGCAGTATGGTCTGTGCTCACCAATGGTGATCTCTCTGTCAAAACAGAAGAAACCCCACTGGACTTCAGATTTCCACCTCCTTGGCAACACACAACGATTGCCTTCCTCCTTGAAGGACACAAGTCATTATTTTCAGGCACTCTAACGAGCTTACCTGGTAACCAAGACGAAGATGAACTAAGGGAAAAGACTCCCATGATTAGCTAGCAAGAATAATGAGAGTCCAGGTCAAGAGAAAAGGATGGTAACTAAAGGGGGTGTGCAGTTAAAAATATTGTTGACTTGAAAACCCAGCTAATTTCTTACTGAACGAAAAAGAAAAGCAAGTAAACAAACCCAACTCTATAAGAGAAGGGGTTTGGTTTGATTTTTAAAAGAGAATGAGAGGAGTATGAAGGACAAAGAAAAGTGGGGAGGATTTAAGGAAGAAGGAGATAAGTGTTAGGTAGTTTTAATATTGGTTTAATTTAATAAATCTGAGTATTTCTCTCTTAACAGCTCTCTTTTTGCCTCACAGTCACACCTCCCATAGAGGCACCGTCATCTGAGATGGCGGGAGCTCTCTTTATTTCACCTCACTGATTAGTTAGTAATGATCTTTGTTAGTTAAATGTTTTCTTTGTGATATTCTTTCGTAGAGAAATGCTGGCGAAGAAAGGGTGTGAAAAAGAAATGGGTTCTCCAACTGGTGGTCCGCTAACTAGAGCGCGGCAACCACAAGTATTAACTTTTGTCGTAAAAGTGATATGCCAAAACAGCAAGTTTTACGAGGATTGACAAAGTTGATACAGATTTTCCAAATGTTACATTGATGGAAATCGAGTGCATTTTCATAAGAGAATCAGTTGAGCTAGAGGCGATGTTTAATCAAACCAAGTGTGCTCCGAAATAAAATCCCTCGATTTATGAGTTACATATGCAACTCTCTCTCTCTCTCTCTCTCTCTCTCTCTCTCTCTCTCTCTCTCTCTGCTTTTTTTTTCGCTTAATCGTTAATGCATTAGGAAATTTGTGGTCATCAAGCCAAACTACAGGGGCAAAACTGAAAATATTCACAATAATAATTAGATTCTTTTTAATCCACTTGTTTGATGCTTATGCATTTTCTCCGTTCAAAATAGAAAATTAATAGATATAAAAAGTATTTTACTGGAAAAAAAATTATAGTTGTAACGTCTGTGTCAATATGCATAATACATGAAAAAAGTGTGCATGGTCTAATTATCTTTTTATCAAAAAGGAATTTCGTAACATGCTGAGAAATGACTAGACAAATATCGACAGTTCCAGCCCAGATCATGCTGTCAATCAAACGAAATCACAACCTAGTCGCCTTGTGAGCATCTATTGCAATTGCATTGAAAACCAAATCCTCCAAGCAGAAGTTCTTGTCGAGCATCACGGTCCATGCTGGCATCAATGTAGCAGATTCTGAGTTCTTCACCTGAGATGTGCCCAAAAAAACAAAAGAAAAAAAACTTCATCATATAGCCATTGATCTCACGAAAGCCAAATGGTCCTGGGATGATTGTAACAAAACAAGAATATCAGAATTGCCTGACTTTAAGGAGTCAATTGATAAATACATCAAAATGAGTAGATTTACTAAGCAAAATTAAAGCATCAAACGCATTACTTATTGGAAAGTCAACCTAAAACCTTCCAAAAGGGGAATAAACAACTAATTAACTAAATTGCAATCTGAGACAAACCTTCCTCAATGTTACGGAGGGCCTTCAATTTTGCATCTGCATTATCTATCCATATAATATGTGCATTAGGATCTACAGTAACAAAAGTTTAGCTTCATCAGTTCTCAACGTAAAGAGAACATATTCTTAGAATTGAACATCCCCGGCAATCATCCAATCGTGTTTTATGTCCATTTTGAGGACAGAATCAAGGAAAGTAAAGGAAAAAACAACAATTACCACAGTCATGATTGTAGAAAGATGGAAGTATGTAGACAGCATTTCCAACAGAAGCTTCGGCTTCTACAGATGCAACTGCAGATGATAGCAGATCTTCATACAAGCCTCTAGCCAGTTCAACTCGAAATGCATTGATACGAATTCGTGCCAGAACACTAATGTACCATTGCTTGCTTAAAACTTAAAAATGTCAAGATAAGAAGTCCCTCAACTAATATTGATTTGTCTTAGTGTGTACGTGTGTGCTTGTCTGCACAAAAGGATTCTAACACGTGAAGGATACAAGCAATATCTTCATACGCAATAAGTGTCTTCGTCAAGGCATTCCTTAACAAGGCAAAACCCTCTTCCAACTGAAAATGAAACAAGGATAGACAGATCATGTCTGTAGCAGCCACATCTTGATGTCAAGGCTGTGTGATTAATGCTGATCAAATTTTAACTTACACACCAATAAATGTTTCATTAAAAGAAGCTTTAACGGAAATTAACTGGTATATAGGAATTTGCATAACAATTTTTACGAGAAAATTAATTGATTTCAAGCCAATTTAGATAGGAAAGTCAACTTTCATTTCTCGAAGAAATCTGCTAACCTTACTCTGCAAGTTCCTATTGTTGTTATCAGTAAATAATAGATCCCTCACCTCTAGTATCATCTCAGGTGTCAAGCTGGCAGGTTGAAGTATGTCAAGACTGTCAATACTGGCAACTCCTGATATGATCATGCAAGCCAAACGTTTTACCAGAAATGGATATTTCAAACCATGGGTCCTTGGCAAAGAGATCAGATCACTTTTATCAATTAACATTAAATAAATAAATGAATAGTGTCAATAATTTAAAAGGAGTGTGTCCTTAACAGTTCTATGGATTGAAGTTCAAGAATTTCTATTATTCTAAATAGACGTACAGATCAGATAGTTAGATGATGTATATGTGATTCTTCTGATTAAATTGCATGTGTGTATGTGTCTATGAGTATAACCGACATTATGTTTCAGAACTAAATCATGCTTTGGCTGAAGTTCTCAAGCCAACTGCGGATGAAAAATAGCTCCTTTTATCATTCTCCCCTTTCCACTGTATTGTCAGAATCATAATTTTCTGGTAAACTGATAGCTGAAATTATGGAAATTTACATTAGAGATGAATCTTTTACTTCCATTTTGAGCATAATCATGAAACATCAGAAACCAACTTAATTAAAGAACAAGTTAGACCCATCAACGTAGCATTAAGGAAATGAAATGGTATATTGAGCTTAATTCCTATGAGGAAGTTGAAAAGATGGGAGGAATCTATCACCACTGAAACAAGAAGATTTTATTTTTTAATGCTAGAAAACAAAACTCCATACTGGCAATAAGCATCAAAAGCCATCCAATTCGCTTTCATTTCAACATCATAAAACTCCTACAAAAAAAAAAAATAAAACAATAGAATAAATCATCACTCTGTTTCAGTGAAATAATATGAAGCAAAACCAACTTGATGTAATTATTTAAAACACAAAACCGAACAAAAAATAAGATATGTAATAATAACCACAAACCAAATGTTCCATGCATTAATAGTAATCATAAGATTTTTTACCCTTTGAATAAAATTTGATATCATGTCATGAGTACGAGTCTAAAAGAAAATCTTATCCCAAAAGATCAGTCTCTTTAATGAGAAAATCCCTCACACTTATGAATCTTACTCAACTCGTCAAGCTTCTCAATATGAGACTCATTACATATCACAAGTATCAAATCTTCGTGATTATCTGATATACTAGATGCTGCCTCTACTTATCTTATGCGGTTTCTTTTTATTATATTACATGATGCTTTAAATTGAACGCACAAATTATCAGGTCTATAAAAGCTGCGATACGATATAGCGTTCATGCTGTCACATCTACACCTATAGTCTATGGACTACTTTCTTCGTCAGAAACATATTGCATTAAATTGTATGTTATCAGTTATTAATCGTGAACTCTCACTAAGCAACAGTGAATCCATTAATGATCAGTTCGAAATAAACTCAAGGACAACAATAAAATTTCAACTGATACATCATATGACGCCGCTTTACATGGTGAAAGGAGAGGCACATGGATAATCATGACACACAAAGCACACTTCTATATGCAATTTTTTTTTTCCTTCTTATGAGCAGTCAGCCAAAAAAATTTCAAATATACTTCTCACAGTCTAAACCTCAAACATGTTGTAAGCATTACTTGAAATAAATTCAAACCATACAAATAGGTGGAATAAGTAACACCAATGCACCTTAGAACATTCTTTGCATTCTTCACTACAAAATGATGCGCCCGCATCTACCGGGTTGGTCGAATTTCGAAGCTCTCTGAGGCAAAAGTAACAAACAGCGTGGATACATGAGGGAGAAGGGTGGCACAGAAAGGGTTTGGAGGTGTGGATGAGATCTCCGGCTCCGATGGCTCGAGTGGCAAATACACCACGCCCAGCTGATTCGGTGAAGCCCACCCGAATCGGAGGCGGACCGGGTCGACTGGGACTGTCATGCTCCGCTGAGGTTGTGGAAGAGGAGAATGCCGTGAGTTGAAGTCTCTCGCCACAATTTGCTATTCTGAATGGCGTAACCAACCTGCTCCAATGCTTACACAGTGACCGTGACATCTACTTCAAGTTCTAATTGACGACCTTGGCACCTTTCACTGAAATTTCACACTCGCAGGAGCGTTGTGCCGTTGTGGTCAGAAAAGAAAAGCGAAAATTTCAAAGCATCCTATAATAAACGACATATAAGAAGGCAATTACAATTTAGACCCTCAAATAAGTGAAATAATTTTGAGAGAATTGAAGCATAGTACAAAGGATGTGAAAAATCCATTAAAATTTAAAATTTCAGTTCAATTTAAAAAAATTAAAATAAAATTAACTTACAAAAATCAAAATAACTTTTCTATAAATATTAAAAAAATAATGATAAGATTTATATATAGCATTTAAAAATTAATAATTAAAATTAGAAAATTAATAATTAAAATTTCTTTATAATTTACTTGTTCAGTCAATTTATTTGAGTTTATAAAGTAACATCATTTGTTAACTTTTTAACTTTACTTATTAATTTCTTACCATTACTTGTAAATTACTTGACTTCAACGATGGAGCGCCGGAGCCACATAATAGTGAGGGGACAAATGCACCCCCTCACTTTAGGAAATGTTACAAGTATGGTATATAAATTTTATATTTTTACATCTCTTATTCTCAATCCTTTGCCTAGACTAAATGAAAAATATTTAAACTCAAAAATTTATTAAATATAAAATAGTTTAATGATTTATATAACATATGAAGAGTTTATTTACATAAGAGATCATATTAACTTGGTCATTATAATTTTTAAGAAAAAAATAATAACCAATCTATTTATGTTACTATAATTTTAATCCTATAATATAATTATTATTTTTAAAAAATATTTATTTTTTATTAATTATCTCACACTCCCTGACTTTAGGTTTTGGCTCTACCGCAACTTGATTTGACAGTCCTTAATTTGTTTAATCAATTTATTTGGACTTATGAAGCAACATCATATATTATATGACAATTTTACATGTTAATTCTCCAACATCACTTTTAAATTATTTTACTTGACTTGTTGATCTTTGAAAAAATGAAAAGATTTATTCAATTAATTTATTTAAATTTGTGAAATAACCTTAATTACTAATTCTCTAACTTTAATCGTTAGTTCTTCAACATTGCATATAAATTTGACCACTATTTTTTTAATATTTAAATTCAAATTATTTTGATCTTTTTATTATTTAAATTAATTTCATTCCAGTACTCTTAAAGTTAATTGAAATTTCGGATTTTAATGAGCCTGGTTTATTATAATGTCACATCCTTGCTTGGTCTTTTGTTGAAATTCTCCCAATAATTTTTCAGTTTGAGAGACTCAGTGTCCAGACTCGTCGGTAGCGACCAGACGATTCCGGTGGCCATTCAGTCGTGGCGTCATGGTGGGTTTTTATTAGAAGACTTGTCAGTAAATGTCACTTTCTTTCTGGGTGAAAAACCTTGTTTTCAAAAAAATTGTTTCTTTTAAAATAATTTGATCATCACAACTGGGATATGAAATTATTTAACTTTATTATTGAAAATATTTAACCTCACTAGGATATTGACTTATCTCATTGCCTCATACTTGAACTGGATTATTGGTGATTGAAAAAACAACTATTAAAAATGTTAAAAATGGAAATGAAATGGTGCACCGAAAGCTCATATACCATGAAGTGGCTTATCAATGAAGCAAAATCACATATAATCATGTACTGAAAAAACAGATCACAACCAATAAAAGTTAGATTTAAAAAAAAAATTCCTTATAACATGATGAATATGATTTGAATTTTTATTAAAAAAAATGCTCATATTTAATAGTCTGTAATAGAAGCGTAGAAAAAGATACACACGAGCAACCAATTAAAAAAAAAAAAAATCACATAACATCGATTTTCACGGTCGACGTGCCTCTACTCCACTCCTTTTTTCTTTTTTTTTTTCTTGTGGGGCCTCTCTTAAAATTTGGAGGTTCTCCCAGGAACCATGAACGATCCAAGCATACATGAAGAAGCAAATCAGAGCAAATAACATGTACGTATACACATCGCACAAGAAGTTGCTCACATCTATTTAGTTCCAAATCAAATTTAGCATTTTTGGATTAGCATCAAAAAAGGGGGGAAAAAGAGTCATCCATGCAAGGGTGATCTCCAATCTAGATCTTCCTGTAGTGGACACTCTGTCTGCAGCTCCTTTGGTGGTATGAAACAGTCCACGGATAATCCAGGCACGTTGAAGGCAACATCATCTATGGTCCACGATTCTTCCAAGCGCGTGATGGCCGGACCTGCCTTTAGACGATCCCCAAACCTAGTAATCACCGCCGTTGACTTCCCCGCGTGAGCTATCATCACACCCTCCACCGCCCGATAATCCTCGATCTTGGTCGATATGGTGATCTCCCAATACATGGGGTACGTCCCAGGGGATTGGATCCTCGTGAGGTAGGAGTCCTCGAGGTACACGAGGAGGCCGCTTCGTTGGCTGAAGTAACCGTACGTAACGTGCTTGATCATCTCTGCAGTACTGTCGCTGCGGTCCGTGAGGTTCTTCTGATCGGCTGACAGTTTTAACGCGAAGCAATCGTCGCCTGAGATTTGCTTCTCTCCCGTGTACTGCGATGCAGAAAATACGACAGACACGGCCAAAGGGTCTAATCCCTGCAAGGTACAAACCGCAGCGTCGTTCAAGCAGAGTAAAAAATCAGTCTCTTTGTATCATTCTGTGCAGCGACAACCCGCAGAGATGCTGATCAAGTCACTCCACTGTTTTTCATAGTGGGCCTGGGCCAGAACCCCTGAGGCCTCAAGTCTGAACCATCATTTTCCCCAGGAAGCATATTCCAGAGGAACTTTTTTTGTCCCCACGAACTTCAGAGGAATTTTTTTAGTAACGTTGAATTAGAAGATTAATTTAAGCCAAAAAAATCATACAAATAATAAGACACGATGGTTATATTAGTGGACCGAAATCTTAAAAAAAAAAAAAATGTGATGGCTCGTTACATCGTCCAAAACGTTGGGGGAAAACAAGCAAACAATGGTAAACAGAAGAGTACAGTTAGATGGACCACATGAGAATTTATTAAGGTTGAACAAATGGGATTTGTTCAATGTCATTATTTATTAAGATTGAACGTATAAACAATCAGTAGACCCACCATTATATATGAATAAAAATAAATAATCAGGAATCTATATCAATATTCGTGTATAAGATTTGAACATCCCTTTAATAATAATGTTTTTGACGTTCCTGACCCCATTAGCAAAGGGTTCATTACTTCACTCGTTTTCGACTTTCGAGAGTAGAAAGATTGAATTGGTTATGAATGGAGAGCGTAGGGTTCGGTAGAAAACTTAATTTAACATACCTTCCACTGTTTGACACGGTTAAGGTCAATTTTAATAACCGAATTTAGCTGTCATATGCACGATAGTAATTTGAAACTGGCTGTTATGTAAAGAAAGAGTAAGGGAACTGTAAGCGGAAATTGCTAAATTAAGAATCATAAAAGTCTTGGAGAACAATTTGCAAAGGAGCCTTGACTGATTGACTTTGACCCAAGAGAATGAAAGCCGAATTATAAAACATATTAATAAAGTTGGAATAAAGGAGTGATGACCGATGACTTGCCTGGAGAGCACGACGGAGAGGACGGACGCCACCTTTAGCAGCGTGGGCTCCGAGCCACGGAGTGTGGCGCCAGGCGACGGTGCCGTCACTTCCGGCGACGACCTTGTGAGCGCCGACGACGAGCTCAATGAGCCACATATCGGGAACCATTTGCCACATGACAAAGCATCCTCTTTCCGACACTCCGTTAGATCCCATCCCCGCATCACCCACCACACCCATCGCCACCTTCCCCGTCACAAACACATTTTTCACCCTCCCCTCCAACTTCCGGCAACCCGTCGCTGCCGTAAAGTGCTGTATTATATACTGAGCTGACGATGACACCTATAAACGTCACAACACATCACATTACATTTATCTGCCTTTAATTTCCCTCTCCTTTCCTCCCTTTTTTTCTTTACCCTTTTGATTTTCTTAACGGTGTGGTTAGAGGAAACCAGATCATGCACATGGTAGCATAGAGGGACGAGCGCCTTTAGGCCGGCCCGAAAACGAGAAAAGAAAAACCTTTAGAGTGGGGTATGAATGACAATGCATAATTAAAGTGTCAAAAGAGAACCCATAACAACACTTTTTGCTCAACTTTAAGCCAGTGATTCTTTGATCCAAGGAAACAGAGTGTAGAATATACTTCACCATATATACTATATAATTTGAGAAAGGATTTTGTGAGAAAATTAAATGCTTGCCTGATGATGGAGGGAAAGATGTGGTTGGGGATGATGAAGAGGAAGAGGGAAGAGAGGACAACCCAGAACGCTGAGGAGGACGTTGAGGTGGTGAGACTTCTTAGAGAAGAGGAGGGAGAGGTGGGTCTTGATCCAGAGACGCCATGCCTGGTGGCGACTTCGTCTCTTGGTGCTCACAAGGTCGTCTTCATTGATGGGTTCTTCTGATAAGGGAGCAAGTTGACCCATCGAACTTGTGCTGAAGACTTGGAAGTAGCGACACGCAGAAGAAAGTGAGGACTGGAAAGTGCTGGTTGCAGAGCGGAATGAGTGGAACGACACACTCTATATGTAGTGAAGTCTTAGTCTGACATATATATATATATATATTTTTTGGGGTCAAAAGCGAAGTCTGATCGCTGATGTGGGTTTGCTTTAAGAACACGCAGGCAGCGAGCGCCTGCCTCACATTGCAGCGAGAATAATACTGGGGAAAAAATTATGGATGTACTAATTCCCAATACAACTTGTAACTTTTTGGCCTTTACCGCCCATGTTGACTTATCATTAGTCATCTTGCTAACTAAGCTACTATGTCTTTATGACCCGGCTAAAAAGATATTATTATTTTTAATTTGTTTATATTTTATCTATTAATAAATATTAATTAAACTGATTACACAACTAGTTATTAATTAATTAACGATAAACTCTTTTAATGTTAACTTATTTGCAGTTATTCTTTATATATATATATATATATAATGTGATAATCAAAATTTCAAAGTACTTTGATTGCAGATTTGCGCAAGTGTTTTTCACTTTGATTGTATATCATTTGAGTTTAAATTTAAATTAGTCACGTTACTTTAATCAAACAAAAATTGAGCTTACAGTTTTGTAATCAACTTTTTTATCCTTCAAATTAAATTGCAGTGTATTGGAAAAATTCATATAGAAATGTAATTTTGATATGAAATGCATTTTCGTTTAATGGATCAATATTAAATTACACCTTAGAAAGAACACTGTTAAAGAAATCAGTTGTTAATTTCGTGATGATTCGTAAAAATCTAACATATAATTCAAGTATTATTTCCAAAAGCAAGCTTGATATTAACAAAATTAGATGAGAAAGGCAGGTATGGAAGAAATTAAAAGCACTGGAAAGGCATGAGCATCTTTTGGGGTTTGAGATTCAAATCTGGGTGATGTTGGGTGAACAGCTTTTTAGGGGTTGTTCCAAAGTTGGTCCATACCTTGTTAACACTTTTTATTTTTATTAAAAACTATGGGAGGTACGTGCGTGGGAGTGTGATCGAATAAGGGACATATTAGTCCTCACATATTCTCAAAACAGAGAAGAACATTACTACGAAGAACAAAGTCCTCTGACTTACTTATTATCCTTCTTTTCGGAAAAATGGCCAACCACATGCATTACACTTTGCCACCCCACATCCAACTTTGCATGTCACGTGCTCTGCATCTTTTCTTAAAGCATCCACACAATAATCACAATGCGAAGAACTATTCACAGACATGAAAAGAGAGCAGTACATTTTTGTTTCAAGTGGGAAATTTGTGAAGCTGTTAATTACTTAGAGGAAGTATTCTACGGTAGATTGTCTCTCATAACTTGTTTATAATACAAGGTAAATTATTAGTCTCATATCTTTCTTTCATCAATGTCTATCATAGATCCTCTACACAAGTTTATTTTTTTGGCCAAACTCTCCACAACTATTTTAAAACCTGAAAATTCCACAAACTACGCTAAAAAGGTAAACTTGCTTTTGACGACGCAAAGCAAAATCGACATCAACATATTAACCAATATCATTAATACATAAAAAATATAAAATAAATCACAATATTCATAAGATATTATTGTACGTCAAATTCCATGCAACATATATGCATACTTATATTTAGTTTTTTTGTTATCTTACAACAAATCTTTTAGTGGTCATTTTGACATCATGGATTTCTTTTATGCTTGGCTTCGGTTGTACGTCCTAAAAACTAAAATGATAATAATGATTACAAATCATTTCAGTTTTATCTTGGGTAGAGATTTGTCAGCCACTTTCGCTTGATATGTTAGTTAATGAAAATAATTTGACAACATAGATGAGGAGCGCTTGATTCAACTAATTGAGAAAATTAAATCAACTTATCCCATAGTTTCAAATTCTTCATCCTTTGATAAGTAGCAATTGTATTAAATAAATATGTCAAAGACGCTTTCGAGGTAACCGTGAGATTGTCGTTGGTAATAACAGTCCCTCATAGTAAGGGTTCATATTAGTTTAGGAGACGGTAATACCCCGAATTTCCTAGGATATCGAGAGGTGGAATAAAAAAAGTAATCCAACAATATAAATTGAAACATGCAAGAGAGATATGAAAAATGTTGTGTATATTACTGTGCTGAATGGTACATTATATATACCAAAAAATATACAACTTAATAATGACTAATAATTATGTAATAATATCAAATAATATCTCATAACAATAGCTGAGATATGTACACAATAATAGTAGCATATTTAGAGAATATTTTAGATAACATCCCCCCTCAAACACAATATAGGTTAACAGAGAGTAACTTGAGTTTATTTACCAGGAACTAGCTAGAAGCGACATAGATTAAAAAAACTTCATAAACAAATCAGCCAGCTGATTCTTTATTCAAATTAGAACATAATTCAAATGGTACCCTAAATAACATGTTGTTGATTAAAGTGATAGTCAATCCTAATGTGTTTGGTTCACTTATGAAATACATTATTGTAAGCAGTCTTGATTGCAGTTTGACTATCACAATAGATGTCTATTGAAGAACCCTGAAATGCTCCCTGCTGATCAAGTAACCAAGAAAGCTAAAGTACATTGCAGTCGTATCTACTAGTGCATGGTATTCTAATTCAACACTAGAGCGGGAGGCTAGTGTTTATTTTTTGCTTTTCCAAGAAACAAAAGAATGGTCATGGAATGTATATAAACAAGTCGTAGACTATTAATAATCATGATCATTGGCCCAATTATCATTAAAGTAAACTCAAAGCGCAAGAGAAGAGTTAGTTGAAAAGTGAAGCCCATATGATATAGAGTTCCCCTATTATACCAAATAATTTAAAGAATTCCTGCATAATGGGTAGTTCAAGGGTTTAATATAAACTAGTTGACAATCTGGATTACATAAGCAATATCAGGATGGGTCACATATAGATAAACAAGGCCCTAACCGGTTGGCTATACTACTAGGATTATCCAACAATGTGCCATCAATGAAAGTATAATGAACATGCAGCTCAATAGGAGTATTCACAATTTTCTTGTCACAAAGATGTGCTTAAGATATCAAATCAGTAGAGTATTTGACTTGAGAGATACACATACCTTTTCTCTCATGGTGTATCTCAAACCCAAGAAAATAGTTCAATATTCTAAGATCCTTCATTTTAAATTATTGGCTCAAGTATGTCTTAAGCACCTAGACTCCCTTATCATCATTGCATATGATAATCGTGTCATCAACATACAACAACAATAGAACAATACCACAAGTAGTACATCGAACAAATAGAGTTGAGTCGTAAGGACTATGAGTAAAACCTAGCTAATTCATAGTGTTGCTGAACTTAGCAAACCATACATGATGAGCCTACTTGAGCCCATATAGAGCTCAACGAAGATGATACACCTTGTCTTTCGAATGCTAACACCTGGGTGAAGGTTTTATATATACTTTTTCCTCTAGATGTTCATTCAAAAATGCATTTTTAACTTCATTTGATGAAGTAACTTGTACTTAACAGCAACAATGTCTAGAAGACTATAAACAGAAGTCATGAGTGCAAAAAGTGCAAAAAATTCCTCATAATCAACAACATCATAGGCCTTACATTACTTCAAAGAGCCTTAGGAATGAATTTTGTTTTTGTCCCCCCATCAATGTCCAACTAGAGCCTTACCAAGGGGAAAACTAACAAGATCTTAAGTATGCATTTTCTTTAAAGCATGCAAGTCTTCATTTATAGCTTTTTGCCATAAAGGATCACAAGAGGCTTCCTTAAATGATTTGAGTTTTTGTAACTAGAATGAAAAAGCAGTGGTAATTACTTAAGTATGAGGGACAATTTCTTACACCATAGGGTCGAGTATTGTTGGATGACATGGGCTTAGGAGGTGTGACTTGTATAAAAACATCATAAGGCATAATAGTAAGCATATTAAGAGTAGTCACAGCATCAATCGGGAGCTTTATAGGGGAATATGCATCTAAGTCACTTGGAAAATGATCGAAATATCTATGAAAACAGAAGGTGAAGGAGGAGAAATAGAGGACAAATCAATTAAGCATGAAAACATCATATGTCGTTAAAAACAACATGATAAGAGATTCAAATGCAATTAGATATGGAATCCCATCAATAATAACACTTATGTTCAGGGTCATAACTGAGAAAATAATAGACACAAGTATAGGATTATAATTTGGCAGTTTCATGTGGATTCATAACAACAAAACAAACACAGGTAGATACTTTCAGAAGGCTATCAGGAGAAATACCATGAAGGCACTAAAAAAAATATTATCAAGAACTAGGGTAGGAACTTTATTTATGCAGTAGGCAATAATTAAGGCTGCTTCTCTGTAGAAGCATTCGGGATAAAGAGAAGAAATGAGGAGGGCCTAGACTAAATTAATAATATGATGATGTTTTCATTTAGCTCGACCCATTTTACTAAGAGTTATAGGGATAAGAGTATTAAGAGATTGTACCTTGAGCATCAAAAAATTTGAGCAGTTTAGAATCATGATATTTTAAGGCATTAATGTGATAAAAAAACTTGTATAATTTTAGAGAATTGAGTGTAAAGGAAGCTCGTATCAACTGTTCATCATGTAAATCCAAGTATAATAACAAAAATCATTAACAAAGATCACAAAATATCATAGGCATCTTATAGAAGGAGCAAGTGCTGGGCTCTAAATATCATAATGAACTAAATTAAAAGACTCATCAGTAATAGAGTTATTTTTATTAAATGATAAAGTAGGCTGCTTAGCAATATGATAAGAATACAATACAAAGACTAAATGTCAACTTGATCTAAAAGACCATCTGAGAGTAAAGGATGCAAAGCAGTTAAAGACAGATGAGTAAAGATAGTGATGTAATAAATCAAGAAAGTAAAGGTAGAGGTAGCACACAATTTAAGAGAAATGACTTCAAGGAGATGCAGGGAATTAAGCTTAAACATTTGACCAACCTTATGCTCAGCCTCGATAACCTGTCTTGTCTAAGAATAAAAAAACAAC